ATTGATAAACAAAATGTAAAAAAAAAAAAAAAACAGATTAAAAAACAAGAAAACCAATTGAAAAACGAATTCATTAAACATGTAGCTAGTAATAGTGCCTTGAACAAAGTACCAAAAAATCGATAAATAAATAAATAATTTCATATGCCGAATATATTAGCAATTGACTTCGTAACACATAGCGACGGATCGATAAATAAACAAAACACGGTGACGAATTTTAAAAAATACCGGAACACCGGTTTACCGGAAGTTACAGCCACCTGTTTCGGATGCCTTCGCGAATCTGTGCGTACTCGGCCGAGCTCTGGCGATATTAGATGCGATTTCCAAAAACAGAATTCGAAAATTCGTTTTTGTTTATAGCGTACGCAGACGGACAAAAATGCAAAAAAAAAAACATTAATTAGTCCAATCACTCTATAGATAATTAAAAAATGTAAAAGGCGAATTCCAAAATTTAAAAAAAAAAAAAAAAATCTAACAATTTTTCCTGTCCCGCTGGTATATTGCGATGACTAAAGCGGGAATTTGACTTATTTAAGCTCTTTTTCTGTAACAAGAAAAAAAAAAAAAAATTAAAAAAACCGTCTAGTCGCGTTAGCAACGAATACACGCCGATTATAATATTATATGTTCGTAAAATCGGCCCTGATTGGTGTACATAATATTATTATGTAGGTAACAAATTTGTAGACCGCGATTTATTGTCGAAACGTCGTGTTCTAACAGCTACTAATATAATTATTATAATGTCGTAAACTTTCACTCACGATTATTCCTATTGTTTTATTTTTAGTATAAACCGTACATTATGTAAATTGCGTTACGTTCGAAAACGACGATGTGTTGTCGATCCACCTGTATATTTACCGATAGCGCTTCGAACTATCCACAAATTCGTTACTTGGTCACGAGTCGATAATGAACCGTTTTCAGCGTCTACAGCGACGCGACTTGTCCAGAATAATATAATATTTCCGAATATTTTATCCCTTTCAGATGAAAATTTCGATAACCCGTCTGACGGTTAAGTGTCTATAAGGTAAAAAAACATAATCATCTCTTAAACGAATAACTAACATATACCTAAACAAGAACAAAAAACGTTTCGCCCATCGTAGACATTGTAAAATTTAATTGTAATTCCGTATTGCGTTTTGAGAATTCTTTTAACTGTTTAAATGTTTAACGCCCTAATTGCTATTACGGTCTAAACAATTGATGNTATCTACTGTCCGAGACAATTCGAATATTTATTATGTTTATCTGTATCCGGATGATTTTGAAACAATTATCTTTTATCTTTAACTAGATAAATTTTAAATACCCGCGTGACGGTGGCGTGTTTTTGTTTTTTTTTTTGTTTTTTTAATCGCTTCCGATTTCAACGGGAAATATTCCTATTGGTCACTAGCAACGAATTTGTGGATAACCGCCCAGCTTTGATTATTATAATATTGTTTTCATTATTGTATGTTCTTGGAGAAAACGGTGGTAAAAATGTAATATTCATGCGGAAATAATATATACCGAAATGCTACTGAGGCATACTCGGAGCTACTTAACAATAAGATTTCAACGAGTTTTTGTTCTCTATTTCTTTCTTGTTATTTAAAAAAAAATGTTATAAAACCATATTTTTTTTTTTTTTTTTTTTTTTATATATATTCATACTGTGACTAAAAGACTGACTTTTTAATCTATCTATTTATAAACCTAATTTTTTTTTTTTTTATGTTGAAGTGGACAATTTCAGTTATGTTTAACAGCTTTTCATTCGATTTTAAACTTTCATAAAAAAAAAAAAAAGTCGAGTTTTTAGTCACAGCAGTGGTTTTATTTGTTTATTTTATTTTTTCGTTTCGTTTTCTTTTACGAAGAAAGAAATTGGATTAAATCTATTTAGGTTGGTAGCTTACCGCCGCCGAGTAGTGGTTTGTACGCGAAATCGAACGTGTTGTGAAAATCAAATGTTTTTTATTTTATTTGTTTATTTAATGGTTTTTTTTTTTTTTTTTTTAATTTGTCGACATCACTTCACCCATTCCCATAAAATACATTAAAATAAATAGGTCTGCATAGTATATGAATAGATAGGTATTTGTACCACGCATTTCGAAAAATAAATTATGAAATTTCGTACTTGTACCATAGACCTATTTTACTAACAGTGGACATTCGGACAGCCGGAGAGAAAAAAAAAAGATCGCTTTCACGAAGAGCTTAGATTTATCACAAATAATAATCTCGCAGATATTTAGATGGTCATAATCAGACATGCATGTCTATATGCGTCAAAGTGAGTATCTCGATAATCGTTACGTGAACCAATGATCAGGATCTATAGACGCAAGATGCTGCACACTTACATAGCAAGTATTTCAATACTCAACACTAACGTTTTAAATCTATTTAAATACTTTATACTTGATACACGTTAAAATTAAAATATCAGTTACATTTTTCACGTTTACCGTATCGTAAAATAATGCGATGGCCATACGGCTGAAACGCTTTTTTTTCGAAATTCCCAACAACAATTAAAATTACTCAATTAATACTGAATAATTGAAATCATTCAATTGGTTTTCAATTTTGAATGCTTATTTCAAAACTGCCCGGATTCTTTTCATAATACTATTGTTTATCTTGTCGTTTACGATAAATCGACGATTCTCGTGAAAAAAACCAAACGTGTTTCATATTATTTATTCCTTCGCGAGTACATTTTTTTTTTTCGCTTATTAAATGTTGTCCGACTGATTTTCGCTCAAGGCACGGTCGGTCCGCGTGGTTAATAGATCCGGCGGCGAAACGAACCTAAAATAACCCAGGAGTAACTGTGGCAATCAATAGCAATCTAATTTTCGGAACACGCGGCAAAAAAAATTACGCGCAACTATATGATAAAAGCACGCCGTACCGCGTAAACACGGACGAGAATGCCCGTAAAAGCGGTTCAGTCATCCGGTGCTCGGCGTTTCTAATAGAAGACGGATTCGGACATTGGCGACGACGTGAGATTTGATATTCGGCACTTCCGTTTTGGATCCCGATAAACACGGCCAACGGCACAACGGTTCCCGCGGGCGTGCCTATCGAAATATACAACCGTCATAATAATACAAAACGCGCCGCGTCCGTGGTCGTGGCGTGTAACGATAATTGCGTATTAATATATATATATATAAAAAAAAAAAAAACACGACGATTGTGCTATGCGTGTGTGTGTGTGTGTATTTGGTTTTTTGTTTCGCGTACACGACGCAAGCTAAAACGATACGACACAACGCTGTGATGTGCGTCTGCGACGCGAGAACACGACCGTCTTGTTGTTTCGCCGTTGCGCGGCGCGTCGTACACCGTCGCCGGACGACCTCCTCGCCCCCGCCCAGCGGGCGTTTTTTCGCTAATTTTTTATTTTTCCGCTGCGGTCGAAAACGTTTGATCAGGTTTTACCGGGGGGGGTGGAGGGCGAGGGTCGTCCCGGGAGCGCGCGTACTGATCGCGACACCGCTACTATCACCGTCGTCGTCGTCGTTGTTTAGAGTCGCGTTCGTTTCGCGCGCACCGAATAAAAAAACAACGCGCACGCCGTCGTCGCGCGTCCGCGGCGCCGTAAAACGTAAAACGCGACGGTTCCGCGTGCACGCACGTGTGTGTCGTATTATAATAACGACTGGAAACCGCGGTCGGCTCACACTTCCGCCGGATCGAGACGCGAACGGAACTGCGGGGGCGCATGCGACGTGATCGATACGGGGACGCGCGCGCGTGTTCGCCGGGTTCGCAAGAAAAGTACGGACGGCTTGTAGAACGGAAATCCAGTACAGAACCGCATTTATAACAATACATATCAATACGAACACTGTCGCGAGCAAATTCGGTAGCGTAACGACGATTTTCCTCGGCATACTATCACGCACGTAAAACCAAAGAACTGTGAATCACGGGGACGTGATAATTATCATCCGTTACCGTCGTTATCGTTACTCTATAAACATTCAGCAGTTCCGAATTATTTGTACGCATTTGAAACGTAGAGAGTTTGGCGGATGCGAAATGATAATATCTATCGTGCACCTCCACGAAAATTCAAGCAGGTACAAGTGCACCTTCTTGTACCCGCGAGATCACGCCCGTGATTTTTCGGAATTATTTTTCACTATTTCCCCCTCTCCCCCGAACAATTTACGATACGCCTTTGACGCGTCGCGTTACCGTTATCGTTTTCATCGCTCTTATTTTCGCGGGCGAAACTTGCAAAATAACCTGTTTTGAAAATATCAGTGGAGTTTCGTTTTTAACATCGTTTCGGTGTTGAAATTTCCGATTTCCGTCGGCCCATTAACCAGACATTTCACTTTTGATTAGGGCGACGGGGGAGGAATAGCGGGGCGTAATTCGTATGGCCGCGCGGCGCGCTCCGTTCGAATAGCGTTCCGTTATACTCTTCCCATACCGAAAGTGGGTAGCGGTATGGAAATGGTAAAAAATAACGGTTTTTCAACATTTTGTAACTGATCGTTTCATAGATTGTCCAAACGAAAAAAAAATAGAACTACGAGAAAAGTTTATAGACTCCGCGATAACGAGTGTCTTATCGAGAAATGATCGCCCTGTATGTATAGTGTCTAATGTACTGGAAGAGCGGCGAGGAGAAAGAGGAAACGTTTCGATTTACAGTGGCGTCCTCACCGCGATGATGACGCGGTCGTCGCTGTCTATAATATTTTCGGTCCGAGTTCATCGTTTCATCGTACAAATCGTGTTATAATTTCGGCTGATATTATTCATACGATTTTGCATATTATTTTTATTGGGTAGTGTTCGTATCAAAATGGGTTCTACGACCTTATGATTCCATATACCCACACAACGTATTTGATTTAGCACAGTTTTATGTATTTCAACGTTTTATTTCGATTGCGGTTTTTTTTTTCTTCATATTTTTAATTCCGTAAAAATCGTACCCAAGACCCATGGACCATTACGGCGATGGCGTCTTGTCGAGCGACTTTTTGCCGTTATCGCGTTACCGCTTCATGTCGATAGTAGGTTATTTGTCGGGAGGCTTTTTGACGGGTTTCGTACAATTCGCTATGAATGACGCACAGACAGCCGCATCCGTTTAACAACGCGCGGGATAGAAGATAAAAGACATACGGATTTGTCCCGGCGAGCGAAATGTGTTTTCTTTTTGGAAACGATTTATTTTTTGCGAAATAAAACGAGAAATTATCTCGAGAATATTATTAGTATTCTATATGACTGTAAAAATACAGCTGTTAGGAACAGACGTCATCGCCGTACGCCGGGAATTGAATAAACTAAATTTTTAGTACGTCAAGACGTCTGGTACACGATATAATATACTATTTTCGTTTAATATTCGTTTTCCGTGCGTTTTCCATTTTCCCGTGTACCTAATTCCCCCCTTCCCCCCCAGCAAACTCGTTCGTTATTTTATATCTTTTTGTGACATTGTTTAAGCCGGACGGATTTAAATGGGTTTTTTCTGGAGAGGGGGGGGCGAAGAAGATAGGGTTTGAAATTTCAAACTTTAAACTCGAAACGTGTATTCCATTACAGACTCCGTTATATTATTATCCTATATAAAATAAAGACTCCCGTACAGTTTAAGCCGGCCGGGACGAAACATTATTCGTGTTACCGTTTTAGATTCTCGGTTCTACTATACGATGTATGGTTTTTAGATTCTACAGATTGCATTCTACCTTCAAAAATTCTCACACACGACAACGGGCACACCTATCAGCAGTATCGGCTATTCTTTTTTACTTTTTTATCCGTAAACCACATTTCTACCAGAAATCTTACTCCAATCGAACGCTTTATAGGAACTTCCGTGTACCACTGCTCGTCTATTCAGGCAGTCATATTTCGATTTCCCTCGTTTATTTTCTTAATAAACGAGAAAAACCCGTAATTTTAAGTTTCGTTTACGCCCCGGGTCACGTTGTAAAAATACGAGTAATAATATACTCGGCTAAGAATCGTTTTTTCTCCCCCGTAGCGATGGTTTATCGTTGCACATACGGTTAAAAAATTGAATCGCTGCATGTATTGTATCCTGCCGTCCAACTTTCCTCTTAAAACGGTTTTTTTTTTTTTTTTTTTTAATTGTATAAAACTAGTCGTACGACTATGACGACTATCGCGATTGTTTTTTTTTTTTTTCGGGTATACGAAACGGCGGCGACACAATAAAATTATCGTAGTCGGATGCGTACGCGTGATCTATACGTACAGCTTCGTCGCGGACGCGCTTACCGTCGAGAACGTGGAGGGAGGGGCAGCGGTTGACGGGCGGGGGCCCGGAGGGACCGGAGAGAGGGGAGGCACGCGAGTATTCACGATAGCCAACGCGCGCACGTAATGTACAGGATGCAATAATTTCTCGTCGTCGCCGAGCAAAGTAGGGACGGCGGGACGCACGTCGCACAGGGTATATTTTTAAACGCGGGGCGCCAACGGATATCGTAACACGGCCACCGCCGTGCGGTTTACCTCCGAGTCGCCGAGCGTTTTATTATTCCCGGGGACACCGAGAGCGCAGTGCCGATAGTCGCGAACCGCACGCGCCCGACAACGGACAAATAACCGAAAATAACATTTGAATTATTTCGCGCGGAAACGTAAAATACGCGGAGAAAAAAACTACGCGCGCAAACCGTTGACTACGACGACGACGACGAAGACGGCGCGAATTGCGACCGCGACCGCCCGACCGACTGAGGTTAGTACCTGTGCAACCTAACCTAACGATACCTGTATAACGGCCGTCGAGACCCCCTGCGCGTTCGCGTTATCGGCGGGTATTCAACGAAACGCTTTTAACGAGGTTCAAAACAAAACGATATTAAAAGTTCGAATATCTCGTAATAAATTACGCGCGTAAAACGTTTCCGTTTTTTTCGCCGTGTTGGCCGATAAGAAATACGCGTGTTATAATATTATATAGGTATGCCTATTGGGAAGACAACGCATGCAGGTCGAACTTGCGGTCGAACGGCGCACATTATCCGTTCAAAGCACCGCGGGCTCCGGGGTCGGAAACCCGAAAAAGGCTTTCTATTTTTTTTTTTTTTTCTTTTTTTTTATTATTGCATTTCCCACAAAACAATACGTCGTTATAATACGTTTTCCGAAATACCCCTCGACCATGAACCGTGCAGTAAAACTGTGCGCGTACGGGTTCGTTGACAAAATAACGGACCGTCAAAAAGCCTCGTGTGAGCTACCGAGTACCTATATTATAGTCTCGGTAAAAACGTGTGATCGCATAAAAACCCGGTCTATATAGTACAGTGATTCCCAACTTTTGTTATTTTGCCACCTCATTGTAGCTTTTTAAAAATCTCTCGTCCCCTTTCCCTTTTGAAAAACACGATGAGCGTAAAAAAATTGTCATCAGGATGTCCATAGACAAACGAATCTTATCAAAAAATGTCAGCTAACCCCCGTCCCCTCTACCTAAACACAACCTTATGTATTCGTAATATTTATCGACGACCAATTGTCGGTCGTCGTTCAATTTTTATTTTTTCCCTACGTTGCAAATGATTTAATAAATACACATTTTTATTCGTAATGACTGCTCGCGCCTCACCAGCAGTGTGTACACGCCCTCCTCTCCCCCCCTGTTTGGAAACGCTGCGCTAGTAAAACGAGTAACAATAATATTATTTGTATTTTGTAATTTGAACAGAAAACCAAACGAATACCCACAATGATACTCGTATCCTCATTATCATAGTTTAGATTTCGAGTTACGGCACGCGTAACGAATATTAATATTTTAAGTACTCGGTTTGACACGTTCCATTATGAAGACATTTTCCGTTTCGGAAAGAAAAATAAAAGTTGAAATGTTCGAAACATCGTTTAACGTATAAACCTATTATAATATAGTAATTAAACGGTGGGTATAGTAGCTGGTACCTACTTAATATATTTTTCATCGGAGTCCCGCCACTCAAATCTTACGGCGATTTTTGTTTGTCTACTCTCATATTGCTCTAATTGGTATTTTTTTTTTTTTTTAATTTTTTTTTGAACGTAATAAACGAATTAACAAAGACTGTTTGTATATTATTTCGACGCTTATTAATTTGTCGGTCGTCTTTGGCTCCGAAAATACCTCCGGGACAGCGTGGCGGCACTGCGGATGTCGCGTATTATTTGTATTGTTTTTGACAACGCGAATCGTTTTCGAAATATTTTCTACCTATATAATTGTACAAACTAATAAATGTTTTCCGACTTATCGGTAGAACGCGAAACGCGTAGGTAGGTAAACTAACAACAAATTTAATATTACTCCGACTCGAAGCTATATAATATTATTATTTTAATATTGAATTCGACTAATTGATTTTCGAGTTATTTCCTCGTACAAAAACGGTTCATTTCAATTCAAAAGTGGCGAAACAAAACTAATTTTACATTAATTGTCTAAAAAGTTCAATAACTAATAAAACGAACGAGAATTATAACGATAGTTAAAAAAAAAAAAATAAAAAAAATACGGACGACGGGTGGATCACTGTTGTAGGTGGAAAGTTGGAAAGCTAGGATATAGAGGGAAATTCGAATTCTATCTGTACGCAACGATAAACCATTTCTAACGAAAAACGATTCGGAACGAAGTTTCATTCATGCATACACGTAAGCTTTCTCGATTGTTTCCAATTACTGTGAAAAACCACTCGAAAAGTCAAAAAATAATCTTATAGTACCAAATGGATAAAATTTCCTTTCGGAAAAGATGCTACATTCAATACATCGAAGTAAGATTTCTGGTAGAAAATTTGCTCGGATAACAAAAAGAGTTAACATCGTTATTGTAACGTTCGTCACTATGATCGTAATACGCTTCTGAATATCTGATTTGCGATATTAATACGTGTTGAAAATAAAATTTACAATCTAAAATATTATACCGTCTTTCATTTACTGTTATCGGTGTCGTCCGTCGGATTTTACCATATTACTAATAAATCGTTAGCGATCTGACACTTTTTATTATTATTTAATTATTAACGCCACTAGGGCACAATAATAATTGAGACAAATATAACAAATGACCAAATTAACAAAATTAACAGAAAAAAAAAAAAAAAACAAGGAAAAGATAGAACACAGAACTTAGTCTAAACTACATAATATTTTTGGTGACATATCGTGGAATATATCAATACTATTACCACTATTCAAGATGCGTAATGCACGGTCAACAGGAACTGCGGAACCATAATTCGTTGTGTGAAAATTACATATAAATGTCGCAGGGTTTCTCAATGATAGTATTGCCAAAGAAATTTTACTAAGTAAATCGAGAGCATCAATAGAACCATTCAGTAACTTATAAATAAACGATATACTAGAATTACGTCGCCTTTTAGACAGTGAAGCAATATTTGACTGGAGCCCACAGCTAAAGAAAGGAAATTTTTTTTTTTGGAACTTGTTTAAACTTTCAATGGAGTTATTATGGTAAGATGACCGCCAAATAATCGAACCATATTCAAGAACTGATCTAACAAGGGAATTGTATAAGATAATAAAAGTTTTAATATTAGAAAACTCATTTGTATTACGTGTAAAAAAAACCAAGTCAATATGGTCATTAAAAGAAAGATTTGAAGAAAACATAACACCAAGGTCTTTAACAACAAGAACAGATAAGAGAGGAAATGAGTTAACTTTATACGGAAAATTAATGCGGTGCCGAGATCGAGTAAATGATATTGTGTTACGTTTTTTTAACATTTATAGATAAATTATTATTTAAACGCCACGAATAAAAGTTATTTAAACATTTCCGTAGAATCTCACAATCGGAGATATTCCGAATAGTTTTAAATGATTTTAAATCGTCGGCGAATAACAAAAATTTGCAATTAGGGAAGCATTGAGAAACATCGGTAATAAAAATATTCAATGACCAAGGAGATAAGTGCCCGCCTTGGGGAACACCGGATGTAACTGCAATGGGTGATGAGTAACAATTATAGATCTTCGATATTCGGGTACGAGGGCTAAGGTATGAATCAAACCAGGATAAAAGAGGATTCGAAATGTCGACATTTCTCAATTCGAACAGCAATAAACTACGATCAACTCTATCAAATGCCTTTTGACGATCACTACAGATCACATCCACTTGCACACCCGCTTCAACAGAATCCGTAGAAGATGCGTTCCACGGGACGCGTGCGACAACATTTT